GAAGGGGGTGACGCACTCCTTCTCTCCCCCAGGCCTGCTCTCCATGGCCAACTCTGGCCCAAACACCAATGGCTCCCAGTTCTTCCTGACGTGTGACAAGACGGACTGGCTGGATGGCAAGCACGTGGTGTTTGGGGAGGTCACAGAAGGCCTGGATGTCCTGCGGCAGATTGAGGTGGGTGGCTGCCCGGGCCCTGGGCCCAGGGGGACAGCTGGAGAGGGGGCCACGGCTGCTCCCAGGGAGGTCTGCTTCTGCTCGGGCGGCAGCAGGCACCTGGAGAGGGCATCCCTGAGCTGCTCCTTACTCTCCAGCCTCCCTGGTTTCTCTCCCTCTTCTGTCCCCACAAAGGCCCAGGGCAGCAAGGACGGGAAGCCAAAGCAGAAAGTGATCATCGCCGACTGCGGGGAGTACGTGTGAGTCTGCGCTGGCCATCTCTGTGCCGCCCCTGCCTGTCCAGGATCCATCCGCCTGGGAACCAACACGTGAGGTCGCCTGTCCCCTCTGCGGCGAGCAGGGATGTGTGTTGTGGCCCTTCTTGGGGTCAGCTTGGAGCGGCTCTTCTGCAGACGCGGCCTGGACTCCCTCTGGCTCTCTCCCAGGTGTGGCTCTGTGCCTGGGAGTGCACAGAGGCACCGCCTTCCCTACTGGGGTCGGGCTGTCTGTGGCCTTTTCTAGGCCTTTGCTGCCACGACTTCTCCTGGGCCCACCCGTGGGGCTCCTGGACATCGCTTCTGGTAAAATAAACCCTCGTTCTTGTACTGCTGAGTCCAGCTAGTTCCTAGGGGTTGTCAGGGATTGCGTCTGTGGCTGAGCGGTCCTGCTGAGTTAGGCTGCCAGAGGGGTAGGGCTTAGCTTTTCTTTCCTCCCTTGGGTGGATTCCCAGAGATGTCAGGTGGGAGATCTGAAGCCCAGTACCCTTGTCAGACCATGGTCAGGACAATGGAAATCAGAAATACCGAAGACGTCCCTGTGTCTTGCTGCCTCCACTCCTGAACTCCTCCTGGCCAGTCCTTGAGGCAGCAAGGGTATGTTATGATTCTCAACAATTCATTTGTTTCTTCATAGTCAGTCTACAGAGGTTTTTTTACGTAAGCTCTACGCCCAGTGTGGGGCTTGAACTCATGACCCTGAGATTGCCTGCAACTCTCAATTGCCTGCTCTACTGACTGACTGAGCCAGCCAGGCACCCCCATTCTACGGAATTTGTGAATGCTATTTTATAACTCGAAGTGCCTTCTCTGTGCCAGGTATTTTGCTTACTTGTCTGGAGGCAGGAGGTCACCCAACTCTGTGGGCCTAATTCAGCCTGCTGCTGCCTTTGTGCATAAAGTTACTGGAATCCAGTCATATCCATCCATTTACATATTTATCTGTGGCTGCGTCCCTACTTCAGGGACAGATACTGTATCGTCTCTGGGTTAGAGCTTTCCAGAGAAACAGAACCAGTAGGATAGGTATAGATATGCATAGAGAGATTGATTTATTTTAAGGATTTGGCTCCATGATTGTGGGGGGTAGCAAGTTGGAATTCTGCAGGGCTGGCAGGCTGGAGACCCAGGAAAGAGCTGATGTTGCAATTCGAATCCAAAGGCTGGCTGGAGGCAGAATTCCTCCTCCCTCGTGCAGTCTCTGTCTTCTCTCTCTTAATAGCCTTCCACTGATTAGATGAGGCCCACCCACATTATGGAGGGTAATCTGTGCTACTTCCAATCTGCTAAGATTTAGACATTGATCGCATCTGAAAAGTACCTTCTCAGCAACATCTAGACTGGTGTTTGACCAAAAACCGGCTATCGTGGCCTAGCCAAACTGACACATAAAATGAACCAACACAGCTTCAAAGCCTAAAATATTGACTACTCAAACCTTTACAGGAAGAGCTTGCTAATTGCTGAAAGACATGGCCCCACCCCATGCTGAGCTCTGCTCCTTCTAATGCAGCCACTGCTCACATCAGGCTGGCTTCTCTCTCCCTTCCCTCTCCACATGCTTCCCTCCCCACATACTGCTCAGTCAGGTGGTTTTCGAGAATCTCTCACCTGCTGAAGGCCCAAGCAGGGACTGAGCCCCATGGCCACTAGACACCTCTCTGTGATTGGGTTACTAGGACCGATTCAGAATCCACTGGGCTGGGCTTTTTCATCTTGAGATCTGGACAAGCCAGGTGCAGGAGAGGCCTGATGCCTCCTGGCCCTGGTGGCCCCAGGAGCGCTCCTGTGAGGGAGGATGGCATTCTTGCCCTGCCTCTGGCTTTTCTGGGCCCAACAGACTCCCAGCCCTTAGCTGAGCTCCTGCTTGGGGTTTCCATCTCCCTGTGGCCAGGATATACCACATGGTTACCCTTGGCCCCGTGGGGCTCCCAAAGGAGACCTTCCCCCAAAGCAAAGGCCTCCACTGTGAGGGCAAACGCTGGCCATCACAGGTCAGTCAGTCACTAGGAAAGTTTGTGTTTAAAGGGCATAGCATGGCCACCTCCCAAGAGGGGACTAACTTCTGTGACAATGACCTTGTTGCTTTCTCTTCTTCTCTGTTAGCACCCACTGGGCACCACTGCCCCTCCCAGTGCGCTCCGGAGTATCCAGGTATTATCATCGTATCCACAGTGGAACTCTATACAGAGGGAAACCAAGGCTCGGGTGACATGCTGCAAAGGTCACCCAGAATACGGCAGAGCTGGGATAGGAAGCTTGGCCTGCCTCCCCATAGTTCAGTGTGGTCCTGGGAGTTTTACTGGGCTCTAGCCTCAGGCTATGGCAGGGGCCCAAGGCCCTGGGGGAAGACACAGTCACGGTCCCTGTAATGAGTGTGGATCCTCTGGGGAGACCCAAGGAAGCCACGCTCTTCTCTGCCAGGCAGGAGGGGCCTGGGGCCCGGGGAAGAGTGGCCCCACGGCCTGGTTCGGCTGTCACAGCCCAGCACCAGCCTGTTCCGTGGGCAGTCTCTGCACTGACAGAAGTGGACCTGAAGGGGCCATGCAGCATTTGCTATGGCCCAAAGGGCAGAGTGCCTTCCTCGGTCTGTCTGGCTCCCATCCAGGGTGGCCTGGTCGGTGTGCACGTTGCTCATTGTGGCAAACAGGGCTGGGTTTTGCCAGTGCGCAGACTCCTTTGGGCTGTGGCCCTGAGATCAGGCCTGCGGCTGCTGGAGCTCCCTCTCAGACAGCACGTCTGCCTTCAGGCGCTGTGGGCTCTAGGTGCCGGTCATGGCGGCCTGCAGCAACCCTCCCAGGAAGGCATTTAGTGACCTACTTTTTAGTTGTGAACACTGAGTCTCGTAGCCTTCGGGGGTTAAAAAATCTAAAAAGCCATGTTTTCAAAAAACATTTATTAACAGGAAAATTTTTCTTACTGCATAATGAAGTGGGAAAAGCATATTTCAAAACAATTTATAGAAGACGGTATGATCCCAATTTTGTAAAAATATCTGTCTATAATAGATAAACATCTGTATGTGTATATGCTAAGAAAAAAGCCTAGAAATAAATTCACCAAAATATTAAGTATGTTTATGAGTCATACAACTGTGATTTCAGTTGCATTTTTTTTTCCAATTTTTCCTCCAAAACTGCATTATTTTTGTAATAAATGAAAAACCCATTTTTTAAAAAGGTGGGTCAAGCTTTGTACCTTCAGCAGACTGGTGGGTTCCCCTTGCCTCTGGGAACACAGGGAAATATTCACAGCCTTGGCCATAACCAGGCATTTTCCTTAGGCCTTGAAAGCAAGTGGGAACACAAGGTCTTCCCTCCACAGATTGCAGGGTCTAGATTTTCCAGGAAAAAGCACAACTCTGAAATAAATACTCCACCTACAGCACACTTTCTGGGAGGAGGTTTAGTGGACAAACATGGAAAGGGCTAAGCAAATCAGTAAATCCTTTTGTAATGATGCCAACAGGCGCCTGTTGCTAAGTGTTCAGATGGCAGACATTGTCCTAAATGTGAATGTCCATATGTTTGTAGTAGCCTGGAAGGAAAGAACCAATACCTTGCTCCACAAAAGAAAAACGGATTCAAACCCATTTGACTTCAAAATTCTGTCCTCTTGCTATGCTGCCTCTTTTTCTAATTCTTAGGGATTTTTCCATTTTAAGGTGGGTCGCTTCCCCACCTTAGAAAACTGTGAACACTGATGCGCTGACTTGGCCTCGAGGCCAGCCTCGCACTGCCCAAACCAAGACTGACCGCCGCGTTTCTTCTCAGCCTTTTCCCACAGCCCCCGCCCCTTCCTGGCTGACTCCTCAGAGCTGTCAGTGCGTCTAACCAACCGCCCGTATTTATCCTTCTGGTCCCGTGCACCCAGATAAGCCGTGCCTTGAGCAAGAGAGAGGGAAACGGTGGCATGTGGGCCGCTCCCTGCAGCTGCTGTGCGTGGCTCAGCAAAAGGTACCTGGGAATACACAGCATGCAGTGAGTGCGCGCAGTATCCTGCAGTAAATGGGATAAAATGCGCGGGCCTTGTATCCATTCACAATTTTTTCTCTGCTCAGGGCTTTTTCTGTGCGATCTCATTCAGTGACGGCGTGGATGGCAACAGTTGCTGTAAGTCTGACCCAGGTCGGCAGGCAAAGGCTTACTCTTCAGGTGCTGGGCATGCAAAAGGAGGGTGACAACCTCCAGGCATTCGTGCTATGCTCACCCTGACAGGTGAGGTGCACTCCTAGTCTATCAACCTTTGAGTGATTTGACAGACATTCCTGGTGCACCCCGAATTGTGCTGGGCTGTTGGCTGGGCACAAAACATACCAGGTGAAGTAAAAAATAGTTAAAATAATTGGCTAATGTTAAATTTATATTTGCCTAAAGGACAGTCCTTGATGTTAGGAAGACAGAAGCGTCAAAGGACTAGAATGGCAGGTTCCCTATTATATACCAACTCTGATCTGACTGCCACTGGACCCCTAAGTTCAGGATCATGAGGCTGTTTCTGGGCACAGTGTAAGAAAGGGCTGGCAGACAGATTCCTGGCAGGAGGCCCTTTGGACACCCAAAAAGCCCACTGCCTTCAGGTACAGATGGAAAATGAGGCCCAGAGGGAGAAGCCACCTATGGGTCTGGTCTCCTAACCTCTAAGCCAGAGTTTAGATCCCTGCACTGATGGGGAACTCACCACTTTGTCAAGAGTCTGGGCCCAACCTCTGTGTACAGGGAGAGTCTCCCTCTGTGCTCACTCCAGACTCGCCTCCCAATCCCTGTGGAGGGGCCTCTGTCCTGCAGCAGGGCCCCAGCGTCCACACCTGCTGTCCCAGGCCCCTCCTCGGGGTGTGGAATGACTGCTGAAGGACTCATCCTTGGGCACATGGGGGGGCTCCACCTCAGCTGGGCTGTGCCTGTGGGGTGGGGCAGCCCCACGAACTGCTTTTAATGACAGTATTTGAGAGTTTGGGCAGCTGGACTCTGCGCCAGCAGGTAAATTACAGGCTTAGTAAGTCAGAAATCAAATAAACAGCCCAGCCGCCTGCGGTGGCTGCTCCAAGGAGAACAGTGGTTTCCGGGAACCTCCCCACCCAGGGCCAGCCACATTACTACCTGTCACTCCCCTGGGACAGGGGCCTTTTCTTTGGCTCACAGGTCTTGAGAAACAGGACGGCGCTCCAGGGCGTACAGGGTGGTGCAGATTATGATAGCCTGTTTCTGACAACTTCTGGACATAAGCAGGTGCTGGGAGGCCCTAGCCCTGGCCACAGGCTGCCCAGGGTCACAGAGGTGTGGCTGTGGATGAAAGGGATCGCTCCTTAGCACGCCAGAAGATGGCGAACAGTTTTTACTTCACGTGTCAACTCTGATCTCTTGGCAGTGCCGTGTAGAGTTTTAATATGGATCATTTTGAAATTCTATACAGGTTTGGAAAGAAAAAATATCAAGTTTGGTGATTGATGTTTGCCAGCCAAAGGGAAAGCGGAATGATGTCATCTGTGCTGAGTGTTGTCCTCCTGGACCACCCAATGTATCCACCTGCTAGGCTCAATAAAAAGGTAACTTCTCCAGGGAGCTAAGCTCCTCATGATTCAACGTGGCGACAGACAGGCGAATGAGGCCCTCCAAATTTTTTGTTTCTACAAAGGTCAAATGTCCATGCCTGGCACTTCTTCCCCAGACAGCAGAGGCAGATCAAGGCAGGAAGATGGGGGGAGACAGATGCCATTGGCCTTTGCCCTACATCATGTTGTTCATCCAGCTCATTCTTGAGTTGACCCACATGCCTCCCAGCAGGCTGATCGTTCAGATCCTCAACGACACAACAGTGAGGCAAGTCCACATTCTAACAAAAGTGCCCAGAAAATGCCTGGGAGGGGCAGGCAACCGGAGGTGGACTAGACCATGTCTACACATATCCATGCCCTGAAATGAACCGTGAAGAGCCCGAGGTAGCCATTTGGTGCCCCAGGTGCTTCTCAGTTCACCCCATATTACCCGAAGCCTGGGCCAGCAATGGACAAGAATAGGTCCTCAGACTTTTGTTCCAAATGCAAAATGTTGGGCAGCACCTGCTTTTGGAGGCGGCCGCTGGGAGAGAACCTGCTTGATGACTCAGACCACCAGGCCTGGAGGCCAAGAGACTGTCACAAACCTCAGGCAAGGAAGGGGGCAGAAGGGCCTGGAAAAGATCCAGGCCTGGCAGGAAGGAGAGAGGAGCACAGATACATTGATCTGTGAGGGCCAACCCGCTGGAAGTCTGGCTGGGTTTGAGGGTTTCCTGGCTCTGGAGAGGGGCCTGTCCTGGGTGGGGGCCCCCCGTGGCAGGCACTGGCCTCAGTGGCAGCCGCAGGCCCGGACCACCATGTTGCGGTGCTTGCGCAGGATGACATTGTTGCTGCTGTCGTAGTAGAGCACGGAGGTGGCGCTCAGCTTGGTGGGGGCGCAGCACGCCTTGGGGACTGCATCTGGCTTCATCAGGTGCACCTGGCCGGAGTGGGGGGCAGGCAGGCGTGAACATGGCGGCCCTGCCCCGGCACCCCCGCCCTCGCAGGCCCCAGAGTCTCTGGCCACTCACCCTCCCCTGCTCCGTCCTCTGCCTGCAGTGCAGGCAGGTGCTCATGCGGGGACCCACCCCACCCTGTGCCCCTGCACCCCTGCCCTGGCCCGCTGCCCTTAGGGCCCACCCACTCCCTTCAGACAGGACACCCCAGCACATGGTGTGCCCAGGAGCCCTCCGGGGACCCCTCTGCTCCTCTGTGCTTTCATGATGTGTCTGCATTATCTCTTGTCCCCATTAGCTGTTTGCCATCTGTCTCCCCTCCCAAATGTGGGCCAGTGAACGTTCCCAGAACCAAACAAAGCCCAGAATCCTCGGTCCACCCCCGGAGTGTCCAGCGCTCTTACTCCTCAAAGCACGTCCCAGCCCTGACAATGACCTCCAAGGCAGCTCTGTTCTGGGCAGACGGAGACCGAGCGTGTGGAAGCTGCACATGGTGCCGAGTCATGTGGCTCCCAGTGGCGGGACAGGGACCAGGTGTGGGGACTTGTGACCCTCCTAACAGCCTGACTGCCAGCAAAGAGCCTGCCTGAAGGAGCAGCCTGTTCTCAGCCTCCTAAAAATAGTTCTCCTGAGCAGTGGCAGGATGGGCTGCACTACCCGTGACTCCAGTCTGGGGCCCCCCACAGGGAGGTGGCCAAGGTGGGGAGGTGGGCAGGAGAGAAGATGAAGCCTACCACACCCAGGGGTGGTGGCCACCCTGCAGCCCAGGACTTCGGGCCTCTCAGGGCCTGCCTAGTGGGACTCAGACAAAGCTGGCTGGGGGCAACCTGTCTGGCAGCTCCAGGTGCGGGGACGGGGCTTGGTGTTTGTGGGTCCATGTGGAAGAAACTGGGGGACACCGGCCCACCTGCACCAGCCCTGGGGCTCCACATGTCTAGAAACCAGGGAGGGCCTTTCCTGCACTGGGGTGCTGGGGAGAAGTCAGGCACTGCAAGGGTGCAGCCTTCCTGAGACTCCCCCCAGACAAGAGCTTTGTTAGCTCAGTGACAGAAAGAAGGCCTTTTACCCTATCTGGCACCAAACAGAATGATCTGTGGAGGCTAATGTGCCATTCCATTCAGCCTGTCTTTGAGCCTCTGGGAGACCAAATTGGAGGGTCACTTACTGGCTGTGCATTTTTGGGTACAAATCACACATCTATGGGGCTCATTTTCTTCTCTGCCAAATGAATATAATGGTTCTTTTCTCATTTCCAACACGAACATATCTAGAACATGTATCCTGTGCCAGCTCTGCCAGGATGGGTCACAGAAATGTCCCAGACATGGTCACTACTCTCACAGACTCAGTGGGGAGGAAGGAGAGAGAGGGAACATTCCAGTGGACAAACAGGACCCATGGGGGTTGGCACAGCACACAGGTTCTCAGCACTGGGAGCATAAGCATGGTGACTGCACCTGACAGGGAAGGGCCACAGACACGAGGTGTGCAGGTAAGCAGGTGGTAGCTGGGCCCAGAGCGGGGGAGGCGGCCTTCGAGGTGGAGGGAACAGCAAGTGCAAAGCCAGAAAGGTGGGAAACTCAGGCCATCCTGGCACTAGGCCTGTGCAGGGAGATAAGGACACTGGGGCATATGGGGATGCTGGCGAGGTCAGCAGGGTGGCTCTTGAGGAGCTCTGTGTCCCAGGCCAAGGGCTCAGCCTTCCCCCGGGGAATGATGGGAGGCAAGGCGAGTTTCTCAGCTGAGAACAAAGTGCTCAGCTGTGCTTTAGTGGGGCCCCTGGCTGCTGTGTGGAGAAGGGCTGGGAGGATGAGCCCAGGGGGAAATGCTTCCTTCTCTTGGCCCCCAAGACACCCCAAGACCCCCATCACTGCCCTGGCATCCCCACAGAGGAGGCCAGTCCTAGCCACCTCTCCAGTGTCTGCGAGCTCCCCAGAGGAGCTCATCTGTTCCGAGAACTTGAAGCTTGGCCACATGCCCCTCTCTCACAGAGCTTCGGCCTGGCCACCTCTCTGATCTCAGATCTGTCGGTTTGGTTTCCCACCGGCAGCCCTGCTTGAGATCTAATTGGACCCCAATCTTATGGTGCAGCTGGTGCAGAACTGCTGTCCCCCCTCCACCTCGTCCTCCAGCAACGACTCTGCCCCCGACAAGGCTCCCCATCCCTGTCTTCACATGACCCTCACCTGTAGGCTCCTGGGTTCCTCCCACCCCACACCCATGCCCATGAGCAGCCTTACCTCCACCCTCCACCAGCTGCCCCCACCCCTTGTCGGGTGACCATAGCAGCCCCTCACTCAGCTCCCCGCCTGCCCCACCCTCGACCCCATTCATCTGCGTGATGCTGCCAGTTACTTCTAGAGTAAGTCAGATCATTGACCTGTGTTGCTAAAACCCTGCACCAGCTTCTCAGTTTCCTTGGAAATCAATCCACCCACCCAGCATCCTAGGTGGGACCATAAGCCCCTGTGCGCCAGCCCCTGCCCAACCCCAGCATCACCTTCCCAGCTGTCCCCCTCTCACTGCCCTGCAGCCTGAGTCCACCCAGCCATCCTGACGTGGGTGACCATCACCCACTCGCCCCCGTGGGCCAGAGGAAGCACACACATCTCATCACTCCCGAGCTTCTCACAGGAAAAGGGCTCCTGGGGGCAGCAAGTCCCACTGGGTCTGAGAAAGGCAGTGTCACCACAGGGTCAAAGCTGCTGTTGCTGACACGTTTACTCTCCCTCAGAAGCATCACATCACCTATTACTAGATTAACATGGGGTGGATTCTACCTAAATGTTCTAGAAAGAAATCTCAACCCTAGAACCAACAAACATTTAAAACACTTAGCAATCAACGGCAGCTTGTGAAGGTACCCCGGCCACAGCTCCCGAAGCCATACCGTCTGCGGAAAGCACAAAGGGAAAAAGTGACAGCGGGGAGGTGAACAGGGGAGGCCGGAGCCCAGAAGCTCAGCGAGGCACACCCGCGCCCCTCCCTGCACACACATGCAGCAGGTGGCTGAGCGCACATGCGTGTCACTCATGTGCACACAGTGATGTGTGTGTTCGGAGCCCATGGGCCCCAGGAGGGATGCACATCTGTTATGCAAGTGCCATGTGTCTGACCATGAGCAAGTATGTCTTGTAAATCTGGGTACCCACATACTGTCTGTGGAGTCCTCACACGTGTGTGTGTGCAGTGCACAGAGGTTGGTGTGCACCAGCAGGGTATATGCAGGTTGAGGAGCATAGGCGTCTACACGGCCACCATGGCCATACAGGCACCCGTTTCCCTCCAGGCACGGGCCGTCACTGCTCATGTGTGCAGGGAAGGTTCTGGGCAGAGAGAACCCCCTGACCCCCTGGCAGAGGCTTCCATTCACCCGGCTGTGCCAACCCCCCTCCCCGGGAGCCGGACCAGACAGACGCAGTACTGACCAGGGACTGCAGGATGGCGTGGTTGGTTGCGTTCATGCACGAATCCAGCGGGAACGAGCACTCCCCCTCACAGTAATAGGCCGAGTATCCTTGGGGGGCAATGACCCAGTCCTGGGGGTGTAAGGGGAGAAGGTGAGTTCCATCCAGATGCCCCCTCCTGAGCTCCTGAATCTAGCACCCGGCACAGGACGGCTCGGGGCTGCCCCGCACCCATCCCCCAGCCCCAGGCCAGTCAGCCAACCGCAGGGTCCCGAAGACAGCCTCCCCCAAGAGGCTGGGCACCCCAGGAGACTCTCAGCAGGTGGGGCTGGGCACAGCTCTGTCCCCCTCATGTGCAGTCAGCCCTGGCCTTGTCCTCCCCACCTGCCCCCACCGCCCACGCCTCCTAGAGCTGCAGTCCCAGCAGGTGCGCAGGCGCACTGCCCACCCGGCCTCCATTTTCCTGTTGCAGATCTGACCTGTTAGGGCTGAGGATTCAAACTATCCCTCTTTTCATGGTTTTTACCAAAAAGCACTTCTCATGATAAAAGTAAGACATTTTCCCTTCAGAAAACACAGAAGAACATAATGCATGAGAAAATGAAAATCACCCATAATTCTACCTCCTCCTGGAGCTACACTTAGGATCTTGGGGTGGGGACTGTCTTTAAGAAGGAGGAGAGTCAGAAATTACCAGCCAGGAGCACCTGGGTGGCTCAGTGGATTAAGCCTCTGCCTTTGGCTCAGGTCATGATCCCAGCGTCCTGGGATCAAGCCCCATATCAGGCTCTCTGCTCAGCCAGGAGCCTGCTTCTCCCTTTCTGTCTGCCTGCCTCTCTGCCAACATGTGATCTCTTTCTCACCCTCTCTCTCTCTCTGTCAAATAAATAAATAAATAAAATCTTTAAAAAAAAAAAAAAGAAAAGAAAAGAAAAAGAAATTACCAGCCAGCCGAGGTCCTGGAAGCTGACGTAGAGCTCATGCCGCCGGCAAACCTGCCGGCTGTGGGCGCCGTGAACATCGTCTGCAGGGACAGAAGCACAGGTCTTTTCTGGGGTTCCTGCTCACGTAGCTACCCCTGGTGGCTCCCAGGGCGGGGACACCCCACTGGGCACATTTGTTGAATAAAATGAATGAAGAGGAACTAAGGCATGTGGTGTCATAAAGCCCATCCTGCAGCTCTGCTGGTGCCCTGACCCAGCTCGAGAAACTTCCATGGCTCCAGGTGGCTCCCGACAGCTATGGAGTAACCCTGCACTGAGCCCAGCCTCCTTTGACTTCCAACCTGTGGCTCCGAAGGCTCCAATAAAGAGGCCAAGGGGGCCCAGGCCATCAGGCGGCTCCTCCTCTGCAGAGATACCTCCTGACCTCCCCACACCTCTTCTGCCGCACCAAAGGGCTGCTCCCCATGGAGGAAAGGAGGGCAGGAGGGCAGGGCAGGCCCACCCCGATCCCAAGGAACTTGGTCAGGTGGGGAGAAAACAACAGTGGGTCCTCCGGGTCCCCAGGGGAGACCTGAGAGCCACCAGTGCCTGGAGGAAGGGGCACCTGGCGCTGACAAGACTTCTGGAAAAAGCCCTGGTGAGCCAGGGGAGGTCTGAGAAGGTGCTTCTGGGTGGCAGGAACAGAGAGGGCAGTGGCTGGTCTTCAAGGCACACAGGACAAAGGAGGCTGTTGGGAAAGTGCTAGAGGGTAAGCACAGGTTTGAACCTACAGGGGGCCTGGAGGGTTCTGTCCCCCACAGCTGTTCTGGGACCCAGCCCCAGGCCTGCCCTGGACCTCACCAAAAATCCCTGGGAGTCTGTTTGCCTGCGGCAGCTCATTGGTTTTCTTCGGCAGCCTCCTCTTCAGGGGCCTGGCTGCCCGAGGGGCTCGGATGGGACTGGGGTTTGCCCTGAAAAAGGTGACCAGGAAAGGCTGCTTGGAGCGTGGCGCCTGTCGCCCCAGCAGACCGGCCTGGCCAGGATCCACGCTGTGCCCTGGGATGGAGACAGGAGAGAGGGCGGTCACTCACGGGCAGGGCCGGACACGGGGGGCAGAGGAACCCTTCCATTAGAGACTGCACGGGCTCTGGCGCATGGAGGCGGAGGGCCTCAGTTTCCTCATCTGGAGACCCAAGGGAGATGGTCCAAGGAAGATAGGGGAGGGGGGAGGCCTTGCCAACACAGGGTCGTCATTTGTGACAGTGGTCAACACTGCCATTTGTGAAGCCCTTTACTGGTTTGAGCAACTCCCACTTGTGACCTCGTGTGTCTCCACAGTAACCTGGACCACATGCTTCACGGAGAAACTTTGGAGCCACACCACCAGGGGAGCACAGAACCGTGGTTCCCACAGCCGTCTGAGAGCTCCAAGCCAGAGTTCTCCCGCCCATCCCATACTTTCGGAGGATTCGATGGATTGTGCCCCAGCAGATGGGAGCAGCTGCCAGGACATAGCGAGGGCTTGTTCTGTCTGCTGCTCCCAAGAGCAGGGCCTTAAGTGTCCCCTGATGCCCACAAACGGGACACCGGGGACAGCAGGGCCACGACATCAGGCCAAAGTCCCAGGGCTGGGGTTCAGCCCACGTCTAATTCCAGACCCCAAGTTCTTATTCACTTAAGAGTTAACCCCAGGTTTGTGGGTCAAAAAAGAGAGAAAAGACTGTGGGCAGCGAAATACGGGGGCCTCTGGCTAGGTAGAGGGATGCCCGTGATAATGGGATTTGGTCCCAAAGCTGCTTAAAGATTAGATTGCCTTAAGAAACACAGACATGATCCCTGGAAATGTCGACTCCACCAATAAAACTAATTTCCTGTACCTCTTTGTATTTCCAAAGGACCTCCCGATTTTTTTTTAAGATTTATTTATTTATTTTGACTAGGGAGGGGCAGAGGACAAGGGAGAGAGAGTCTCAAGCTGACTCCCAGCTTAGCATAGAGACCCATGTGGGGCTTGATCTCATAACCTTGAGATCATGACCTGGGGCAAAACCAAGAGTTAGCCAGGCTGCTCAACTGACTGAGCCACCAGGCTCCCTGCCTCCTGATTTTTTAATTGTCCAAGTAATACAATAGCAACTATAAAGTAACCTTTGAGAAAAAAAAAAATCCCTCTGAAATCTTTCCACACTCCAACACAGCATTTTCATATTTCTGGAATATTTTCATGTCAATTGAAGTTTTACACAATGGTGACCATGAGTGTCTATATTTTTTCCAACTTTTTCATAAAAACACACTCACTGCTGTTAAAATGTTTCCACAAAGAGCATTTCAAATGTATAAAATCCTTTGAGAAAATACACCATAATATTTAGATATTAGCTTCACTTTAAACACGTCAGTTATTTCCTGGCTTCCACTGTGAAGACGAGAGTGCCACAGATCCCTTCATTTTCTCTTCCTGTGGAATTTTCTTAAACAACAGGAGAGGATTACTAACTCAGTTTTATGCTTCATAACATGCAGAGCCAACTGCTCCCCTTCCATGTCCCTGTCCCCTCGATGTGGCCACCCTGACACACACACACTTATGTATAGAAACACATGCGTTTATCATACAGTACACAGACGTCCACATGTACAAATGCCTATGTTTGCTCCATTAGTGGGTCTACTCTGAGTCACTGCCTGCCCCACCCACAGTCCTGCTCAGCTGGTAAAGGTCAGCCCTTCAATAGCTGTGCTGTAGGCCCATATCCTTGGGCCAAGTTGATTGAACAACGAATCAATCCCAAGACTGAACTCTGACCTATGACATCACCTGCCACACACAAATGCCCTGGACCCATTAGAGGCTCACTTGGGAACAATCCTGCTGGACAGGAGGTCCTTCAGGAGCTGACCCTGGAAGGAGCCCAGAGAGAAGCCATTCGGAAGAGTTTGGGTAACAGCAAGTCAGCCACGAGGAAGCAGCAGAAACACAAGGACACGGAGCCACGAGACACATACTAGGCCTGTGAGCAGAGGGGCAATGCCAGAGGCCACGAGGAGCCCAGAGTGGATGAGAGCAGGAGGGTGACTGTCGTCAGCATGGCACTGGAGTGGGACTCCATGACCCTGCGTTGGGCAGCACTCCACCCCTGCGGGTGCCGCTGTCCTGTCCCTGTTCCCTGGAGAGAACTGCCTACCGAGGAGCCAGGGAGGGCAATCTCGTCTGAGGCTGTGTTCACTATTCACTTTCCTTGTGTGCCCGTCTGATCAAGGATCTTCTTGGGGTTTCCCGGGGGCAGAGAATGGGCTGCAGGGAAGGCCTGAGCTATCTAGCTGGTGATGCCCTAGGCTGCCCGGCACTGGAAGGCTGCCTTCTAGAAAGGCAGAGGTGGGAGCCTCTGGGGCCCAGGGTCCCTGCCTCTATACCTGACCTTGTGAGGGTGCTGGCAGGCCCCTTTGCACTTGACAGGTGTGTGCAGCCATGCTTGAGAGCGTGGGCCACATTGTGGCCTTTCCCCTTCGGCCTGATGGAACATGCTGCTTCTCTGGGCTGGGGGCACCCATGAGTCCTCCAGCCTCTCCCCACTTCTCAGTCTGCTCCATCAGCGCCCAGAGGTCTTGCCAGCTCGCCTGCCCCATCCTGTCCCGGGCAGGTGCTCAAGGCCTCATTCACACCCCCCTAAACTGTGCCAGGCCCAGATCACTCCCGCCTCTCCCCCGGGCCTCCTGCTCTGGGCGCCATCTGGCTCTTTCCCACAGACCCGGTCCCACTTCAGCCTGTGGTCAGGGAGGTGACCCTGTGCCAGGCTGAAGGACAACCGGGGTGCCTGTCTGAACCCTCGGAGAATCCCAGCTATGGATCCAGTCTGCTTTTGTCCTCTGCTTACTTCATCACGGGAGAACGAGGAACTCAACCTTCCTCCTTCTTCCTACCATCTTCACACGTCTCACTGTCTGCTCCTGGGGAGCTCTGCTTGTCCACACTGCTGCTGGAAAACTGACGCCCAGGGCCGATCAGGTGCCCCCACAGAAGCCCCAAAAGGTGCCCCACTATCCATCCACTTGTTGCCCTTCCATGCCACACCCAACCCAGTCCCTGGCCACTAACCCCCCAGCCCCCAGGCTGCCCCTCGGGAGCGGTGTCCCCATCCCTCCATTCCAGGAACTGGCCCTTCCTTCGGGGCGAGGCTCCAAGGAGGCCTCCCTGAAAGGCCTTCCTTCACCAGCTAGAATCTCCAGTTCTCGCCCACCTGCTCTGATGGTTGTATGCCCACGAGAGCCACACTGAGAACGTGCATCGTGCTCTGTGTCAGGTTTTTTACCTCACACACACGTACACATCTGGACGTGCACATGGCTGCACAGGCATGTGTATGAACCCGTTATGTTCAGGAGGAAACACCCCACGGCCTCTCTTGTGTTATAAGGGAGTAGTGACAACAGGCCAGTCTAGGGCTCCACAACAGGCAGAAAGGGTCTGAGTGTCCTGGGCGACATAGGAATCCCATGCCTGAGGATGAGAAAACCCAGAAGTCCGTCTTAGGTTTCTAGAACCCCTCCTACCACAAGCCGCAGCCTTCGACAGCACACGGGGGGACGGCTGATCGACAGGGGAACCTTGTCACTGCGTTGCCAGTGCTCTGGCCCAGCAAGACAGCCTTGCTGTCCTTCTAGACACATCTATTTAGCCACGAGGAGGAGGACATGCAGGGAGGAAGAGGGGAGGCTACAGGGACACAGAATTTAGCCAGAGGACGGAAGGCCCCAGAGGAAAAGTCAGAGGGGCCGCAGGAAGACAAGCTCACCTGGACAGCATCCCCCAGGTCACGGGGCGTACGGTGCTGGCAAAGTGGGGCCTTGGGGGTATGGGGGTGGTCACGCCTTCCTCACCATCCCCCCACGTTTCCTGACTCATTCACAAGGGGAGGTCCTTCTGTGAAAGCCGTCCCATGGGCTCATTGGAGCTGCACACAATGTCATGTAAACAGCACAGTGAGGACGGCGTTCAAAGCGCCCGACGATGGTACCAGACCATTCTGGGAAGCACAGAACAAAGAAGACAAAGGGCTCCATTCTCCTTTGGTTTTTAATTAAAGCCATATCCCTCTTGGCAGAATCGTCTGTCTAGCGGTGGGAAAGCTGGTCAGACAGCCAGCGCCATGGACAGAGGTGACCAGACCTCCTCTGGTTTCCACTAAAACCCACCCTCTGTGACCGGGGCTTCCTTCCCGGCTCAGGCTGCCACCTGCTGCGTGGATCTGAGGTTCGGGGACAGGGCAAAGGGCTGCCTGAGCTCTTTTTGACGTCGTCCACCATCAAGCCATCCCAGAGTTTGATCCGCGTGGGGCCTTTCTTCCCATGCACGTGGAACACAGCCTTCTTGGGGATGGTTCGGTCTGCACAGCATCCTGCTCAGCGGCACAGTGCATTTCTCCAAGACATGGGGCTCCTTGTCCTTGGTGTGGCGTTGCATGGTGACCACCGTTCTGGCCTTGGCGCTGGACACCAAATCCATGGCTCCCTCCGGGCCGCTCCCCGTCTTTCCGGGGGTGGCCCGGTTAGCCTGTGACCGGATAGGAAACCTGCACGGCTCCCAGCACAGTGAGGTGGAGGTGTCCCCTTGAATTACTGCAGACGAGTCTTCGCAGGAGAAAAAACAGCCCCCAGGGGAAATGGTGACCGTCTGCTCACCCACAGTGATGAGATCTGCATCTGCCTCCTCTTTTAATGGAAACGGACCCAAGCCCAGGATCCCATTTTCACAGTGAGGATGAACAGTTACCTCCGGGCTGATGTAGTTGCTGGGCAGGAGCGGGATTCTTACGCCCCAGGTGGCGCACATGGCATCCTCGTGTTCAAGAGCTGCTCGTGTGATGATCCGGGCCCGGGGGTCACCCACACACTTGGCTTTTTCACCTTCCTCTGTCTGTACCATGAGATGCTCAATTCATTTCTCGTATTTTTCCCTCCAGATGACGGTCGCATCAGTGTTAGGAACCTGGACGTCTTCGGGGGCAGACGTGCCCACACCGGCAGCCTCGTCTGCCCCCACCACGGAGGTTTCTGCAGCTTTGCTCGTGGGCACGCTGGACCTCCTGGCGCTTCTTCTGAAGATAACGTTTCCTCCGCGGTGGGCCTTCCACCCTTTCACCAAAGCAAACGTGGCCGAGATGGCAGCTCCGGAAGACGGAGATCCCTGAGAAAGTCCCTCACCTCTCCGCACTGGCTCTTGAGGGCCATGTGGCCTCCTGCGAGAACCTGATGGGGGCGCCTCCCTCCTGCACCAAGGTCCTGTAGGCTGTGGTCCTGTAGAACAGGGCCCCGCCTCCCGCACCCCCCTTACGGATGCACTCCCTCAGGGAGCCCTGGGAAGGTAGCTCCAGCCTCAGCGGGACAGGTACTGGGTGCTCGCACAGCAAATTCTCCCCTGCATCGGAGCCAATAATATGGGGGACCTGCTTGGTCTCCAAGAGAACGCCCAGCCCAAAGTCGTCCACCCCCACGTTGCTACTTCCTTGACGTGTGTCTTGAGCAGCGCCTTTATCAGGTTCTCTGGAATCCTGCAGAGCCCAAAGCCACGACCCTGAGCTTGGTGCTGTCAGAGATGTCTTTCCCGAGCTGCAAGGGGTCCGTGTACAATCTGGAGAACTGCTGGAGGGCCGCCATCCTGTGCTCTGCCTCCGGCTCCAGACCTCGTGGGGACTGACTGACTGCCACAGCTGCCACATCAGAGAACAGGGAGGGCACACGGGGTGGTGACGCGGGGACAAGGTGACCCCTGACGTCCTGGGAAGCATCGTGCCTCCCACCCCGTGGGACCTAAATCCAAGACCCTGCGCCTGATGGGGAGGGAGCCATGCCTGCAGAGGTCCCGGGGTGGTGTCTGTGAGGGGAAGACCGACCCTGAGCCCTCAGGTTGGCCAGAAGGCCGCCTTCTCCACCCCAGAACCCCCATGGGAAGGAAAGATCTTCCGCATCACCGCTTCTGGGCAGCCCTCTCCATGTGGGAAGCCCCAGGGTTCTGGACCATCCCCTTCCTTCTCCATCCACACCCCTGCCCAGGAGACCTGCTCAGGTCCCAGGCCTCTCAAGCCACTTAGATGTGGGCGCTTTCCACCTGTGCCCCAGCTCTCACCTGTCCTAGCTGACACTCCATCTGGACGTCAACCAGGGCTCTCAATAACATCACTGCCGAAAAAGGCCTCCTGGTTTGCTCCCTCAAGCCTGCCCGTCCACTACTTTAACTCAGGCAGGAAAATATAAAGATTCTATTAAAAATGGCCACTGGCTCAATCCACGTTTTCCATCATTCCTCCTCTATCCTCTCTTCTCCATTTCTGCTGCTACCAACCAACAAGCACGTCTCCGCTCTCCCCTGCAGCTCGTGGCTCCTGTTGCTCTGACTTTGCTCTTGTCCCCGCCCCCCCCCAGACTACGGTCCCTGCAGACGTAGGGCGCAGGGCCTTTGTTGGACACACATACTAAGTTTTTATTTTACAACAGCTGACATTTACAGAAAAACCGCAAGGACAGTACAGACAGTTCCCAGATACTCAGGCCCGTTTCCCCGGGAAATGCCAACATTGACATTAGCACCGTGCACTTGTCTCAACTAAACGACCAACACTAAGTCTGAGGATAAACTAAACACGATGTATTCGGACCTCACTGGTCTTCCCCAGTGTCCTTTCTCTCCTCCAGGGTCCCATCCCGGATCCCACACGGCATTCCATTGCTACAACTGCTTAGGCTCCCTGGGCTGTTACAATCTCTCAGACTTTGTTTGTGTTTGACGACCGGGACAGTTTTGAGAAGCACTCGTCAGGCATCTGTAGCAGGTCCTTCAATTTGGGTTTGTCTGATGTTTTTCCCATGGTCAGGTGGGGTTCTGGGTTCTGGGGGATGACCACGAGATGAAGGGCCCTTCTCATCCTGTCATGTCAAGGGGACACAGCAGATGCAGGACACTCGTATGAGCCTTGGTCGCCTGCTGAGATAGTGCCCTCAGCTTTCTCCTCTGTGAACTCATTTTCCTCACCCTGTCCCCACTGTACTTATGGGAAGCCTAATTCACTAAGCACCGGGGTAAGTGATGCCCTCCTCCAGGGGCTGTCTCAGAGGGCTCTTTTCTAAAAACCTGACTCAGATCCCGTCATCCTCCATTGCTATGAAATACAGGGAGCCACCCTCAACACTCTGACACGGGGCCCGGGTTCACCCACACTCAGGATGTGCCCTGCAGCTCTCAGTCTCCTCTCCCACCTCGCCCCTGCCCGCCCAGCTCCAGCCATGGCGGCCCCTTGCTGTAGCTCAGATCCACCATCCTGTGCCCACTTTCTGCCTCTCCCTCCCCCACTCCTCTGCCTGCGATGAAGGAGGTTCTCCCCCAGCTGCCTGGGGAATGAATGAACATGTGAACCCTCATTCTACAGAGGAGGACACTGAGACCCCGAAGGTAAGTACCCTGGCAAGGTCACCGGGTTAGAGTGCTGAAGAGCTGGGATTCAAACCCAGGCCTCTCTGCTCCGAGTCTGAGGGTGTAACTACCTCGCTTCGGCCCTGCCCAGTATGGACACGCCCCACATACACGGCTGCTCTTGGGGAGGGACAACATGGACTCTCTCTTAGTGACTGAAATGTTGGTCCTGCAAAAGGAGAGGAGGGAGACCACCATGGTAGGGGGCTCCCGCTGTGGGAACCTTGGTTTCTGCACCCCAATGAGCCCCCAAAGTGGTTAGGGGGTTATCACCCCAGCCGCTGGGCTGAGAGAGGCCAGGCCTCCAGGGCCAAAGGAGGTGGTCGCAGCTGGCTCTGTGCCAACAGCCTCGAAGAGCCCCCAGGAGAAGGTCTGCTGCCCAACCCTGAGCCTTACCGTCGTCCGTTTCCACATAGAGGCGGAGTGCCAGGTCCTTGTTCCGGCTCAACAACCAGCGGTCACTGGCTGCTGTCACGTCCAGCACCAGCCAGCCCTCGTCCCCAGCTCGGAGCGTCTGAAGATCCAAAAACAACAAGTCAGACTCCCTGTGGACATGAAAAAACAATTAACTGAGGGCCGGCACAGCTGCCTTTGCGTTTCCAGTGCCCACCTGGGGGACCATGCGTGGGGCACCTATCCCGCCTGGCTCGGGGTGGGCGCCCCGTGTGTCTTCTCTCACTGTATGTACAGCACAAAATGCTACTGGGCCCAGCAGGGGTGTGGAAACCGAGGCTCGGGAGCTCAGTGACCTGCCCATGGTCCCACAGCTGGGAGAGCATGGCAGGGATGTGAAGCAGGACCTATGCTGGGCCTCTCCCCACAGTGACACGAGGCCTTGGCCAAATATCCTTCTGCCTCTGAGGGTGTACTCCCCAGGGAGCTCCCCTTCTGTCCTCTGGGAAGTGTCCCCTCCTCGGCCAGGCTTCGGCAGGAGGCGGCGTGAGGGTAGGCACCTGTTGGACTGCTCCCTGACCACCTGGAACACGCTGACGTGCAGGGTCCTGTTGAGCAGGTGGGCGCCGGCCAGCTTGTAAATCCGGAACTCGGCGGCGGTGACCGCCTCGCCCTCTGGGATCTGGGTCAGGTCGAAGCGGAACTCCTTCCAGTGGGGCTCCTGGTAGCCCAGGGTGCGGTCACGCTCCACTGCGAGACAGAGTGGAGCCGTCGGTCACTTGTGCTCTGGACAGAGCTGGGGCTGGGGGAGATGGGGCCCCGGGCAGCCTGGGTGGGGACAGCTCCCTCCTCTGCAAGGGGACTTGCTCCCAAGCTCTGCCTCCTGGTGCTGAGAGGGCATGGCGGGCCATGCGCTGAGGTGTCTGGCACAGGGCCCAGCACACCGTGGTGCCAGCAAGAGCTGCCTCCGTTTCTGGCCCCCAAACCCCAACCCAGCCTGCCCCACCCATCCCCTGCTGGCTCTGGGACCCACGGATGAATCTGAGGGCAGGTCCCTCCTCTGGGAAGACTGACATCAGACCCAAGGCAGAAACAGGTCACAGAGTGGACAGGGACAGAGCTGAGTGCATTTTTGAGGCCGGGGATGTGCAGAATCTGCCGATGTGTGTGCACGGAAGCCTGGGGGAAAGGGAGTGTTTGCAGCTGACCCTGGAGCTGGGCCTCAAGGGCTGAGAGTGGATGTGCCCCAATGTCAAGGGAGGACACTGCAGAGGAAGGGCCCAGCCTGAAGAAAGGCCTAGGGCTGAGGAATAGATAGCACAGGCAGGGAAAACAACAGCCACAATCAGCAAAGGACAAAGGATGGCAGTTCCTGTTTGGTGACAAGGTGAGGGAAGAAGGAGGGTCAGAGGGAGACCTGGAAAGAAGAAGCAAAGTAGGAGTGACAGCACCTGGTGACACCTGGTCAGGTCCTGGGGAAGCTGGACGGTCCCATGATGGGTGGGACCTGAGCAGGCTTCCCAGGAGAGGTGCCACCTGAACTGGCCCTGAAGGATGGGACGGAGTCCTATGGGGTGGAGAAGGTGGCAGGGAAGCCCTTCTAGGCAGAGGGGACCTTGGAGGCACAGGTGTGCAGGGTGGGGGTGTCCACAGGCCAGCGCTGTGGGGGACCGGCCCTGAGTCTCGCTGTGGTCTGACTCTGGAGGGCTGGAATCCCGGCCTGGGAGCACCGGCTGTGCATCTGGCCAGCGGGGTTTAGGGTTCTGGGCAGCAGGGGGGCGATGTGGTTTGAAGCGGGGGTGGAAGACAGGCGCGGAGGGGAAGGGGATGCACAGGCTGGAGGGGAGCCGAGGCGGGGCTGGTCTGTCTGGGCCGGAGGCTGGGGTGGCGAGTCAATCCCACACCCCCCGCTGCCCGGAAGCGCCCAGGACAGTATATTTAGTACCATCCCACTTTAGCCTCCTGTCACTGTCAGATGCCACAAATCTGTGTTTCCGGAAAGCAGGGGCGGGAGCCACCCAGCACCTTCCCCCAAACCCAACACAGATTCTAATGACACGTCTGTGAGTCTTTTTAAAAACTCTCTCTCTGGCTTCTGGTGTCTGTGACCACAAGTCACTAGGCTGGGGCGGAGGCGGATGTGGGGAACGTTTCCTGTCCTCGCAGTGGGGACCGGGTCCAGCGAGGGACAGGCCAACAGCTGGGCTGGGCGGGGCCGGTGGACACACACGGTGACGGGACAAGGTGGGCTCTTCCACCCGAGACCACAGTGGCGAAGAAAGACAACGGCCAGGCTCCGCCAGGTTGGCGAACACGCGGCACATGCGCAGCCGGGAGCCAGGCTGCTTCGGGGGCGGTGACCCTGGGAAGGACCCATGTGCTCCCACACACGCGGAGAGCGAGGACTGCAGGGCTCTGGTCCCGCACCTGGGGATGTGGGCCACGAATACTGCCACACACATCCCCTCCTCCCTATGGACACTCCCACACGCACAGCTTAATTTCTGTGGATTCAGGGACCACACAGACCACCTCTGTTCCGTGGCTGTAAGAATCCTGGATGTGCAGGACGTCCCAGGTCGAGGCTGCTGGCTGTGACAGGGTATGGCCCAGAGCAGGAAGGAGGGTGGCTCCATCCCACCCTTCACCTGACTCCTCACAGAGCCTCGAACCCGGATCCGTGAACACATATCTGCTCCCAAGACCGTGGGGTTGGCGCGCGGGTGGGGCCGCAGGCGATCTCGGTCCGCAGGCCTACAGCTGATTTCCTGTCGGATCTGGGGGCCGAGGGGACAACCCACGAATCTGCCAGCTCCATGGGAGGACCACGCTCTGGGGCCTCCCTCCTTTGCTGACCTGGGAGCCCACGGATGCAGGGTCAGGGGAGCCTTGTGCACCAGAACTGAACCGGGTTCCAAGCTTCTACCTTGTGCGTTTGTGAAATCCATGAACTACCCAGCAGCTCAGCACAGGAAACTGCCCCCCTGGCTGTTCCAGGCAAGCACCAGAAGCCAGGACGTTGTGAGGAAAGTGATGCTTTTCATCAGAAATTAGTGATATTTCCTGCAGTGTGGGACTATGTAAAGAAAGATCCTTCATCTGGCAGTCAGTTGGGAGGATGGGAAGAGGTAACCTAAAGATTTGTCTCCTTTTCAGTGGCTGTTGCTCTGAGCTAGGAGAAAGATTTTCTAAAAGCTGATGTTCTGGGAAATCATTTTCTGGCACCTCTACGTCCCTTTGTTAACCAAGTGCAGGCCAAGACTACTTTAGCCAAAGAGGCAGCTCAGGGCAGCACAGGGAACTGTGGCAGTGGTCAGGCCAGAGCCTCATCTCCTCCATGAACGGGGAGTAAGGGTGCAGTCCAGCTTTCCTCACAGGCCATGCAAGGGCTTTGTAAACAGTCAGGAATGGACTGGGAGGAGTAGCCTTTCAACATGAGTTCTGAGGAGCCTGACTTGCAATCTCCCTATTTGTGCCAAGATGTGACGCCCTCAAGAGGCCATGTCAGAAATTTCAAAGCCATGGGAAGGAGAGGAAGGGGAGATTTGGAATGATTTTTTCCTAAATAAATGTATCACTTTGCTCATTTAATTTTCATTGGTTTATCGAGTTCTACTTATAAACAAATGTATTCAGTTCTTACGATGGTAAGGTAGAGACCGCCTGAGCACTGGGAGTACAGTGAGTAAGTCAGGTCTCTGTTTTGATGGAGTTTATGGTCTAATGGGGGAGACACAGTATGAACACTACCAACAACAAAACAAGTAAGACAAGGGATGCCATTTACATTGTTGAGTGGAATATGGAGGGTTATGGGGTCAACAGTAATGCGGAAAGGGAGAGGATGCTTTATAGGGTGCTCAGTGTGGCCTTTGAGAAGTAGGTGAGAGCAGACAAGAACATTCTCCCACATCACTGGTAGGAATGTGTTGGGAGAACAATTTGGCAATTTCCTTTTGCAGTACCCTGGCAAAATTACATACGAATTTACTCTTTAACACAACAACCCCAAGATATACTGGCGAGATATGAAAGGCCTCACACAAATTATTCAGTGGGCCTAGGGAACAGACAAAGCTACACCTGGCTCAAAAGGCACTTCTAAATGTTTATTTTCTACATAATTATAAAAGCTGCCCCAAACGACCAAACACTGAACCAGCTTCTATCTGGGGAAGGAGCAAACGAATTTACTTTCTGAATCACCATAATGTGGCTTCCGGAACAAGAAATAATTATGAATCATCAACGTGTGCTGTTAGGACTCTCAGCCTTCTTTAGTCTCTGATAGACCAACCTCCAGATCCCACATTTGGGAAAGGCCCACTGTGGGGAACGTGATGGCCTCCACCCTCTGTGACTGCCATCCACATTCTACGTTTCTGTGTCTGAGGCCCTGCACCACTCGTGGGCTGGATCTCCAGATGCCACACACTGAGTCCACCAGTCCTACACCAACAAAAGCTTTGGCTATTTTTGTGCCCTGGATAAAATTTAGAGTCACTCAGGACCTAAATCTGTCTTGCTTCTGACCAAAAGTAAGCGACCCAGAGTGGCTGTTAAGAAAATAGAATCGCCTGACCTGTCTGCCCTTCTCCAACCCCACAGGGTCCCCAGGAGGAGACCAAGCTCTGGTTCTGCCCCCACAGGCCCCCGAGCTGGCCCGGCCCAACCTCATCTGGGCCTTCTGGCTACAGATACCTCTTCCCTCCCCTGAAGGCCTTCCCCAAAGCGCCCTCTCCTGAGTCGCCCCCATTCTGCCCTGTCTAAAGGATACTTTTCCTCTCAGTCCAGCTTTCAAGGCCCCTCGTCCTCCTCTGACCTCACACAGATCAGCCTGCTGGCCTCTCTCTTTCCCCTGTCCCAGGGGTCCCCATCTCTGGTTCGTGTGTCCCTCTGGACGGTGAGCAATTAAGGGCAGGACCATGTGGGGTGGAAACGGGAGGCTCTCAGTGGATGTCATTGAGCTCCCTTTGTTCCGGGGGCCCAGAGAGGGCATGTGTCTGCAGGTTCTTCCCGAGCTCCGCAGGACAGTGGGGCAGCTGCTGGTCTGGGAATGGCTTCCACAGCACAGCGAGTCTCCATCAGAAGCCGCTCACATCTTCACTTTGCTGTGGGACTAGCCCCCCCTCCCACGGCCAGGCTGCTGAGGTGGAGGGCAGACTCCCGAGGGTCCCAGAGGCAGAGGCACTGGTCCCGTCCGGCTAGTCCTGCTAGTGACAAGGCTGAGGCGCCCCCTTTAGACCTAAAGCAAGACCCTGGTCTCTGTGCCTGGTGTGGGCCCAGGGAGGAGCTGCAGCACTGATCACCTACCAGTTCTGCGTCTGAAGGGCTTCTCCCTCCCACCCAGAAATCTCAGTACTGTCCAGAGGAGGCCAAGGAGGCTTCACTTCTAAGGTATTTTTAGTCAGTTTTCATTAGCGACTTTTTTCAAGAGCTGCTTCCATAAATGGCTCTGCACTCATGATTGCCGGTCCAGACCCCAGACAGCTTTAGACCCCAAATTAAAAGGGAACACCCGCACAGTCCACCACATCAAGTCAGTCAAGGCCAAAAATAGATCCAACGAGATTGAGCAAGTATACGATTCCCCAGTGCAATTCTGGGGAAAGAACTGAACTGTGGGAGTTTTCCAGAAAGATGTGGTCACAGTGACACATCCTTCTCTCCCGTGGGGAATGGGTTCCCATGAGGAGGAGGAGTGGGTGTACCTCCCTGTCCTGGGCCCCAGTGCTGGAGGAACCCCATCA